TCTGAAAGAATTTAACAATGTTGACAGTTCCACAGAAGGTACAAACGCTTTGAAGATCACATTGATGACTTTAATATGGAGTAAATGAGGTGTATTTATTGATACTTTAAAAAAGAGAGCCTTTAGTAAAGCAGGTTGAAAATGTAGCTTTATCAGTTAAAACAAAAGGTCAACGCGGGAGAACATCAGCTCCTGTATGTATGGTGCTTAACTGCCAAATATCAAAATCAAGGCGAAGCTTGGATTCGAATCTTAGGTTGGTTGGTTGGTTGGCTTGTTGTTTAACGCCGCACTCAGCAATATTGCAGCTATATGACGGCGGTCTGTAAATAATCAAGTCTGGACCAGACAATCCAATGATTAATATCATGAGCATCGATCCAGGCAATTGGGATCGATGACATGCATCAACCAAGTCAGCGAGCCTGACCACACGATCCCGTTAGTCACCTTTTACGACAAGCATAGTCACCTTTTACGGCCAGCATGGGTTGCTGAAGACCTATTCTACCCCGGATCTTCACGGGTCTCGAATCTTAGGACGCAACTCGGAACGATACCTTATGTGATTGGTCTCACAGTTGATGATTTTTTTAAAAGTAAGAATAAGATATATGGATGAACAATTTCTTTATTACTATTAGCTCCTAATTGCCTCTCAAAGTACGGTAGATTTGTGTTTTTTAACGTAAGAAGACTATTTGGTAACATGCAGTAATAGTATTCTCTAATCTTTCAGTAGCCACAACGATGAATCTAACAAGCATCTTCCTCCTTGTCGTCACTGTCGCTGCAGCAAGTGCGCACATTAAGTCTAGTTTAAGACGTAGGCGACGTCTGCGAAGTTACGGATACGCCAACGGTTATAACAGCATCAGCACGTACAACAACTTTAACGACAACAGTTTCGACAATACCTACGACGACACATTTGGCAATATACATGTAAAGGTGTACATCCTCGGCAATGAAAACAACAATGACAACGGTTACGGCAATGACTACGACAATCGGTTCGGCTACAGCTACAGCCACAGCAACATTGACTACAGATTTAGAGCACGTGATCGTCAATACAGACAACGCCTAACCTACTCCAGGAGGCCGCAACTCAATGATATAACTGTTTTAATGTAAATTATTTGAGTTGCCATTGTAATATAACACATGGGACTAATCTCCCGGAGCTTGTGCATTGATCCATGTTTGATTAAAGAGTGTTTATCTCATTTAGTAACCATCGTTAGTGTTCTCCCTTTTCACTCACATTTTCACTTACATTTTCACCCACATTAATTGAAACGTTGTCTGGCACATACTATATATTTTGTTTCAATGAAGGATAGCATTTCATAGTACATAAAATTTGTCATAACATGATCAATGTGTTGGATTAATTATTTAATCAGCCTGTGTCCGTTGTAACCCATGGTATATTGATTTATAACATACATGTATTTAGTTAGTAATAGCGATATAGAAATAAATTAGTATCAGTTCAAAATTGACCTCCCTCACATACAATGTATCCTGGTGTCCCGTGATATACAATGTATCCTAGTGTCCCGTGATATACAATGTATCCTAGTGTCCCGTGATATACAATGTATCCTGGTGTCCCGTGATATACAATGTATCCTGGTGTCCCGTGATATACAATGTGGCCTTGTGTCCCGTTATATACAATGTATCCTAGTGTCCCGTGATATACAATGTATCCTGGTGTTCCGTGATATACAATGTGGCCTGGTGTCCCGTGATATACAATGTGGCCTGGTGTCCCGTGATATACAATGTGGCCTGGTGTCCCGTGATATACAATATATCCTGGTGTCCCGTGATATACAATGTATCCTAGTGTCCTGTGATATACAATGTATCCTGGTGTCCCGTGATATACAATGTATCCTAGTGTCCCGTGATATACAATGTATCCTGGTGTTCCGTGATATACAATGTGGCCTGGTGTCCCGAGATATACAATATATCCTGGTGTCCCGTGATATACAATGTATCCTAGTGTCCCGTGATATACAATATATCCTGGTGTCCCGTGATATACAATGTATTCTAGTGTCCCGTGATATACAATGTATCCTGGTGTCCCGTGATATACAATGTACCCTGGTGTCCCGTGATATACAATGTATCCTGGTGTCCCGTGATATACAATATATCCTGGTATCCCGTGATATACAATTTGGCCTTGTGTCCCTTGATATACAATGTGGCCTGGTGTCCCGTGATATACAATGTATCCTGATGTCGAATATGCTGTTTCAAGTCACAGATTTTCAGTTGCCCCTGACTGCTTTCAAAGTCACACGAGCCGACGACACCCTTAAACCGCCAGTTACAGCCTTTCAGCACCCAAATCGGCTTCCAACTTTATGTTCTAAACATTACATTCCTCTGCAACATACAATTATGGATAAGGGGTCATGTGGCCCTCTGCCTCTCAGCTGGGGACTGCGGAAAATTCTCAGGTCCAAGGCAGCATAACATATTAAAACAATTGAAATATAACAAAACAGAGCTCACTTCTAAATTATGTCTATGTATTTATATATATATATATATATATATATATATATATATATGATGGCTATAGTGGCATGATCTCATGTCAGGTCAAGTCAGAGTAATATCACAAAATCATACAAATACATTTAGAAGCTGACTACAAACAACTTGTGTACCATATCGCAGTTCATTAGTGGTGAATATGTGTTATTGATGTATATTGTACATATGGCTGCTACGGAACATCGCAGGACAACAGGTCTGTGGGCTACAAATTTGATAATAATGAAACAGTTACTGCATAATAAGAATATATCCAGTCAAAGTGCATATCCCAATCAAATGACTTATATACATTAATCACGAAATAATGTTCCTTGTAACCATGTCCGTTTATAGAATAGTTACATTCACTTTATATACAATAACAAAAAATGTATTAACAAAACCTAAGGTATACAAATTCAAGTGAACTCCCCTATTCCCGGAGAACAGTACATTGCAAATCAGCCAGATCCCGAGGGTGACAATCGAATGGAGGAGGGCACATGCCCCTACTGTTTTATCAAACCCTGTGTAACCACCCACAACGGAACAGCCAGATGGATGGGACATGCGCTCCCTCCAAGCCCTAATAACTGCACCCTCAGAAGGGCTCCTTAATATAAATCCTGAAAATAATTGACAACTGTAACGGGTGGAAAATACCAGAATATGTTCAAAAGAAGATCAGACTGGGTGATGGGGAGCATGTTGTCTTCCATCACAGACAAATAATGCCGGAATGTGGGTTGACACTTGTGCGAACAAAATACCTAAAGGGGATAAATGAGCCATATATGGGACACAAGTGGTGGCGAACTGACTTTGTTATTTTTCTCTTTGTATATATATTATCATTGATATTCTTTCAAAAACTGCAATTAATTTCTTTGGGTAAAATCAAAATTGTGTACAGCATAACACAGTAATGAAACTCTTGGCATCATGTACATGTAGCTGACTATGGAAATACAGTATCCTTATCAGACAATTGATCGTGTTTTGTTTACATAAAGAGTGTAATTGCTCCTAAGAGGTCAAATGTGTCACTTGTGCTGTGTCTCAAAGTTGACAGGCCTTCCGTTTCCTCCTGGAGGAAAAAGTGGCGGTTTAGTTATTGGTGTAAGAACACCCAAACTTATCACGGGAGTATTTAACGAAGCACTCGTAAAAGGGCAACATCCACCCAATGATAGACTTCCGGCTCAGTCCATGAAACGAAACGTTGAACCGAACATATCCTCAGTCATTCAGGAAAATGAATATAAAATCTATATATACACATAGTATAAGGTAGTGAAGCCATAACTCCAATTGGTTATTGGAGTGACTAAGAGCATAAGAGCTTGGCACATGTATGCTTTATGCAATTGTTATACTTGTCAACCAAAGACATGGGGACCTTGAAATCATGTAGTTCACGTTGTGTGTTTTGATCCAGACTAGCCATACACTGAGACTGATTCTATCGGGGTGTTACATCGCCTAAAAAACGAAATACCGATACGTAATTCGTTTAAATGAGGTTTCGCTTTATGTGTGTAAATAAGGATCACTCGAGGCTGGTGGCGAACAGTTCATGTTGTACCGTGTGTTTATATCTGTATAATGGGCCTCATGGCCTCCAGTACAAAAGATCCATTCATATTTTATAGAACAAATGTGAAATTTCATCCATTACAACATGCATGAATGCATACGTGGAACAAAATGTCATACAATGATTTGTTTGTTCAGTTTCAAACTATAAAAAAATTAAATTTCTCTTTAGGAACAGAGCATTTTTGTTTTGTACATGTACATCACTAATTGCCATTAACAATTTAAACTTATCCTCTAAAGGAGATTTATGAAAATATGATGGAATAAATTGTTGGCGACTATTTCTGTATGCCGGGCAAACCAATAAAAAATGATACTCATCATCTTTAACTGCCAAATCACATTTTTAACTTAACTTTCTAATACATTTGATGAATTAATATCATTTGAGGATCGTAATTTTTGAATATTCAAGTGGAGAGAAGGGCATCTAAATTTACAAAAAAATCTAATCAAATCCTTGTTTTCTAAATGTAGAACAGTTCATGTTGTGGTGTTATTCAATGATACCTGCAAGGTATGAAAGTACCAAGATACAAGGTACTGTGTATGCCGAAAATGCACGCATAAGATAATGTCACCAATACATCGCCGTGTAGCGTACGAAACTGACAGGAAATTGTTCTTCGTGACAGTCACGGTCACCGTGGTTATCATGGCAACAATGCATGGCAGTGGTGCACGAGTTGCAAGCAGTTTATTGATGTTTGCTTGGCCTGAACACTGTTATCACAGGTCGCCCTGTGTTGACTAGGTCAACAAACAAATCTTTAAAACTTATGAATGTCATACTTTGAAAATATAGCAACTCTCAACGAGAAAATTAAATAATGTTTAACAGCAGCAGAAAAGTCTTTTATTTCGAAATGGCACTTTGACGTAAAACTTTTAAAGTACATATTGATACAAAAAATCGAGTTGGAAGCCTCTCATAATCATCCGAAGCGACGTACTACTGGCCTGGGACCGGAGTCCTGAAATACATAGTACATATATGAGACATTGTAAACGTTGATTTGTAAATAATTGAACGTTGAATGAAAAATCACATTAGGTTAAATAGTCAGCTCTCTATTTGTTTGGCGTACGATCCCAAGGCTGCTAAATTGGATCTAGTGACTTGGGTGATTGGTCTTATTTTGACCACGAGTGGATAACACATTCATACCAAGCGATCCAACGACCCGTGAAGATCCGGGGTAGAAGAGGTCTTCAGCAAACCATGCGTGCCCTAAAAGGCGACTATGCTTGTCGTGAGGGGCGACTAACGGGATCGATCGGGTGGTCAGGCTCGCTAACTTGGTTGATGCATGCCATCGTATCCCAATTGTGTGGATCGATGCTCATGATGTCAATCACTGGGTTGCCTTGTCCTGACTCGGTTATTTACAGATCGCCGTCATATAGCTGGAATATTGCTGAGTGCGGAGTTAAACAACAAACAAACAAAAAACTTCACGTCAACTTACATCCAATATTTCTTCAACGCTTTAACCGAAGTACTCGGCGAAGTCTTATTTGTCGAAATCAGGGTAGTCAAAGTCGTCATCATCCCAAAAGAAGTAACGGCGGTTTATCCAGTAACTACCGTAGCCTCTGGGGTTAGTACCACGACGGAATGTCTTCTTTGAGTGTCCAATCGGGTATCCAATGGCAACCCCAATGACGAGGATGACCAGAAGAAGGACATGCATGGTAAACATTCTGGACGCCGACGAGAAATCAAGCAAATATCTGTTAGAGAAAAAATAATACATTATTGTAATGGACATCACACACAGTCTTCTTTTCATGGTCCTCCCATAATGCTTGGCTCAAAGATTTCATAAAGTAATGGACCCGTGAAGATTCGGGGTAGAATGGCTCTTCAGCAGCCCTTGCTTGTCGTAAGAGGTGACTAACGGGATCGGGTGGTCAGGCTCGCTGACTTGGTGCATGCATGTCACCTATCCCAATTGCGTGGATCGATGCTCATAATGTCAATCACTGGATTGTCTGGTCCAGACTCGATTATTTACAGACCGCCGTCATTAGCTGGAATATTGCTGAGTGCGGCGTTAATCAACAAACAAACGAAAAATACGTAAATACCAAACGTCAGAACAATCAAACCTGGTTATTTATTATCATAAACTAACAATATTTACACACATTTTTAACTTTAATCATCATACAGTTATTTTCGCTTGAGAGTTGTACACATTAAACCTGTACATTGGGTTGTCATACTTCCATATTTGCCACTTTGGACTGATCATTCTGTACATAATATGGATATACACCGGCTATTAAATAGTCCAGCAATTATACAAAGAAACGTAAAGTAATGAGCGTAATGTCGGCTATATAAATGTTCTGAAAATTCAGGGACCTTTCTAAAATGTAGTCAGGTGGTGAAGGACTATAGCATAGTAAATTGGTCGACGTTATCAGAAACAACCAGACACATTAGAGCAGAGGGTTTGTCATAGTGGTGAGTTGGCTTAGCACCGCCTTGAACAGTATTTCAGTTATATCTCGGCGCGTCAGCTTACTGTTGGCGAAAAGTTCAAAATTATATGGGTCGTTGACGTTTACCAATCTGATTGAACCCATGTACGTCATGTAGCTGAAATATTGCTGAGTGCGGCGTTAAACAACAAACAAAAACATGAACATGGGCATATGCGCACAAACCAAGGACGTAAATCAGCGCAAATTTGGGATTCGAACCCAAGATCACCAGTGGTCACAAACACACGTACTGTTTACAGAAGTAGCAATGCCATTGAGTCGTATTATATATCGATCATACCTTAAACTGGTTATCTAATTTGCATTTATTCTTTAATGTAAATTATATATCTTAAGTTTTCTATGATATATTGAAATAGTACATAAGTTCATCTCAGTGGTGGTCGCCTATTGGAACTCTGGACAGACTAGGTCCCGTCTATATCGTGCTTGTGGTGAGGTCCCAAAAAGCTTGGGATCGGTTGTCAGACTCATCTTAACCGGACTGCGCGGGATGTCACTCATGCTTTCAATTCCTGGTTTGCTTGGCCACAATTATTGACGGGCTGGCGTGATGCATATTCAATATTACTCACTGACGTAATATACTAAGATATATACTAAGTTGAAATTTCAAGATAATGATCTTGAAATTTCAAGATAATAAGTTGAAATTTCAAGTTAATATCTTGAAATTTCATAAAACAAATAAAGCATAAATGGCGCTAAAAGGCTTCCGTACAAGAGGGATGACTACAACTTTCCAATAGCCAACTTTTCCTTTATCTCCAGCAATATTCCAGCAACTCCAATCTTTGGTGTCTATAGTTCATACCTTTTGAGTACAATCGAGCCTTCTTTTTCTACGGAGAATCCCAGAGCGTCACAAGGCTCCTTCTCAAAACGTTTTTGTATCAAGGTTGCAACGTTCAAGGCCTCATCAAAGCTTTCAGAAAAGAGCACATTCTGGACAGACTATGTCCCGTCTATATCGTGCTTGTGGTGAGGTCCCAAAAGCATGGGATCGGTTGTCAGACTTATCTTAACCGGACTGCGGGGGATATCACTCATGCTTTCAACTCCTGGTTTGCTTGGCCACAATTATTGACGGGCTGGCGTGATTATATTCAATATTACTCACTGACGTAAAGCAACACAAACAACACATACACCTACAGACATGTGGATAATCTGAAGTAGTTACATTTACCTTGATTCTGTAGCGTGGAGACGTCTTCTCACAGTGAACGAAGTACTTGTAGTGCTTGATTCATTGTCGTGCCTGGTAATCTTTATATATTATGGACCTGTTTCATCAAATGTGATATATTTTTATTAAGCGATATTTAGGCCATAGTTTGTCTTCTCAAAACGATCAGAATTTCGAATATCCTTCAGGTCTCCATTTACTGCAGCTAAACAATAGGATAATGTGCATCATGTCTTGAGTGAGTATGGTCTTACGTCGCTTTTAGCAATATTCCTGCAATATCACTGCGTGGTACATCATCTCTGGACTTTTGAAAGAGGATAACTTTTTTTAAAAATGTCGATGTATACGAATGATTGAGAGTAACAAAAATACGACGAGAGTTGGGAAGCCCTTCAGAACCATTCCTTTTTCCTTTGTTTTTTTTTCTTGAAATTTCAAGATAATAACTTGAATACTAAGTTGAAATTTCAAGATATATACTAAGTTGAAATTTCAAGATAATGCTCTTGAAAATTCAAGATAATGATCTTGAAATTTCAAGATGATAAGTTGAAATTTCAAGTTAATATCTTGCAGTTTCAACTTAGTATCTTGAAATTTCATAAAAGAAATAATACATTAATGGCGCTAAAAGGTTTCCGTACAAGAGGGATGACTACAACTTTCCAATAGTCAACTTTTCCTTTATCTCCAGCAATATTCCAGCAGCTCCAATCTTTGGTGTCTATAGTTCATACCTTTTGAGTACAATCGAGCCTTCTTTTTCTACGGACAATTCAAGAGCGTCACAAGGCTCCTTCTCAAACGTTTTTGTATCAAGGTTGCAACGTTCAAGGCCTCATCAAAACTTTCAGAAAAGAGCACATTTCCTAATGTAAAGCATAGGTGACAAAAACTAGGGTTTCGTTCGGCGGTGTGCCCCCAGGCCTGCTTGTGTTCGACGTACGCCGTCAGCACAAGCAAGAAGACAACATCTACTTAACAACGCCTCACCTTGGAGGAAAATAATGATGATTGATAGGCGTTAATTCTGTTATAATCTACGTTTTAACTACATTGTTGCCGATAGCACGACAGCGATAGCAAGTTACTTATCTGTTATATTTCCTTTGTGACTCACTAGTTTCTGATGGTTGAACGACTGCTGCAAAACTATTTTTCTGTCTTTTTAATGTATACAGCAAACATTCGGCGAATCCCCTCTCATCATAGGCCCCCCACGGGCAGGACCCTTAATCCCCAGCGCTATCTATAAATATCAATTAACACCTCTTTACATCGCCGGATCTTTTACATGTGCATTGGTCATTGACCTTGGACCACATGGTGTCAATCCTCTACCTACAAAACCTGTCAGTCAGAGAGCGGGGCCCTGATCATGGACAGTAACGGACGGATGGTACAGCTACACTACAACGCAAAAGTTTATTATCTTGTTCTGCAGTAAAATTGCGAATAATTCGCGAATTTAATGCTGTCATTAAATAATCTTATTGACATGAATATTTGATTTATGATCACCTTGCATCGTGTCTCTTGACTTGTATAAATCTACATGTATACATTTATGTACTAGCATATACTTATGTAGTGGTTGGATGAATACCACTTTAACACTGGGTATATCACAGCTGATGTATGTACATGTATATGTAACTTGTCATCGCCGTCGTGCTACTGTACATGTAAAAACACCTACCATGCATATCTATGGAGGGACGCCCTGATTAGTGTGGCCACACAGTTTAACGTTAATAACAATATGAAGTGCATTGCGTCTACTCCTACACAACTGCTTATTATATATATACGCATTTGCATTAGACACATTTACTTCAATTCCCATGTAACTTACATAAAAACAACTATAACATATGAATCTCTCTGTGCGCACCACATGCTCAGTACCATTGTGATATAGGGGGCACGGGTGGCTCAGTCGTCTAAGGCGCCGCGATTCGCTGTGCAGAGTTGCGTTCCTTGGGCACGCCAAAAACCTATGATTGTGGGTTCGAATCCCAGTTCGCCCCGATTATATTTCTAGGTTTGTCAGCACCATACCCGTGCTTGTGGGTTTCACCGAAGTGGTAAATGTCTGAGACCTGCGTCACTTCGGGCTTTCCTCCCACGTTAAGCTGACACGCCGTGATATAACTGGAATACTGTTAAAAGCGTCGTTAAACCCAACTCACTCACTCACTCATTGTGATATAACAGTAGAACGTGTACATTCAAACACGTTTTGCACGTACTGTACAGGGTATTACAATTAGACAGACGGTTGTCTTATCTGTCTTAGTTTGTAATTAATGTGTTATGAACATCAACTGTCGTCAGTGCATCTTTGTGTATTTCTCTAGATATTAAACAACGCGTTCAAATAATGCCTTGTGAATGTGTGGGGTGAATGTGTGGTTGAAGCATTCGGTATGATGTCCCATATGATTACAATGTGAACCCTGTAATGTGGTGCATCGACATGTATTCGTATCCTATCGATATATTGCTGGACTATTTAATAGCCGGTATATATTCATATTGTGTACAGAATGGTCAGTCCGAAGTGGCAATTGTGGAAGTATGGCAACACAATGTACATGGTTAATGTGTACAACTCTCAAGCGAAAATAACTGTATGATGAGTTAAAAATGTGTTAGTTTATGATAATAAATAACCAGGTTTGATTGTTCTGACGTTTGGTATTTACGTATTGTTTGTTTGTTTGTTGTTTAACGCCGCAATCAGCAATACTGCAGCTATATGACGGCGGTCTGTAAATAATCGAGTCTGGACCAGACAGTCCAGTGACTGACATCATGAGCATCTATCTATGCAATTGGGACACGATGACATGAATCAACCAAGTCAGCGAGCCTGACAACCCGATCCTGTTAGTCGCCTCTCATGAGCATCGATTCAATGATACACGATACACATGTAGTTATTACACTGTAGTGAAAAACTTAAACTTTCGCAATCTCCCCCTTTATATTCCGAGTTGGGATAAGTCGTTGAACCTGTTTTGTGATTCAGTTATCATCGTTTCTATGAACATTTGATTTCCATCCATGTTCATTGTGCTGGAGAAGTTGTACGCTATCATATGTAACTGTATTACAGACACAGATGACAACAAACTCCAACAACAAGTACACTGGGGTTTAAGATTTCTAATGTAGAACTTTACATTGAATTTATATACCATGTACATCGGAATATTTGGGCACGGGGATGCTCGAAAATTGGTTAAAGTGAGTGAGTGAGTTTGGTTTAACGCCGCTTTTAACAGTATTCCAGTTATATCACGGCGTGTCAGCTGAATGTGGGAGGAAAGCCCGAAGTGATGCAGGTCTCAGACGTTTACCACTTCGGGGAAACCCACGAGCACGGGTATGGTGCTGACAAACCTAGAAACATAATCGGGGCGAACCGGAATTCGAACCCACAATCATAGGTTTCTGGCGTGTTCAAGGGATGCAACTCTGCACAGCAAATCGCGGCGCCTTAGACGACTGGGCCACCCGTGCCCCCGAAAATTGGTTATAAGATATTGCGGCTATTTGTGAAAAATTGAATGAATATTGGGACACGAATGCAAATTTTAAATGCATTGCCTCTTTAGATTTGAAATTGGGAACAATTCAGAAAAGAAACCCAGCCTTCTTATGATAATAATTCCCATATTGTCACCAGTACGTTGTTTAATGTCTAATCCGTAAGTGAAATCCTTTAGTGTAGATAGTGTATCTAGTTTGTATCTCGATTTTTTAATTTGTTCACGAATACCCGTACATGATATTAGTAATCGCAAGTCATTAAAACTGTCTCTCTGTATATGAGGTTTCATTAATACCTTCAGTAAAGATATCTTTTTCTTATGATTAGGTCAGTTTACTCTTGAATACACAATATCACTCGCCTAAGAGTCGGCCTACTTTACAGATGAGTCTACAATACCTGCTCTCGTTACGCTCGTCAATTACAATCTGCCACATCACGCGTGAATAAACCGTTATGCTGGTGTAGCTGTGGGCAAATACCTAGCATGTATATTTTTGTGTGTAGAAACATGTATTACATATTTTCGTGAATTGTGGATATATTAGGCAAAAAGACATGAAAGATGAATCGGTGCCTTGATCAACAACCAAAACGAATCGTGTTTGTTCTCCGCGTTCCTGACGTGTGTCATCGTTTAATGGTTCATTCTATGACATGTATGTTTGGAGGCGATGTCAAAGGCCCAGCCCAGCAGACACAGTGTCATCCGTTTCGCGTGAACTACCACCCCACTTCCCCACCCTGTCAGTAAAAGTGATGTAATCGGCAGGAGGCGATGTCAAAGGCCCAGCCCAGCAGACACAGTGTCATCCGTTTCGCGTGAACTACCACCCTACTTCCCCACCCTGTCAGTAAAAGTGATGTAATCGGCAGGAGGCGATGTCAAAGGCCCAGCCCAGCAGACACAGTGTCATCCGTTTCGCGTGAACTACCACCCTACTTCCCCACCCTGTCAGTAAAAGTGATGTAATCGGCAGGAGGCGATGTCAAAGGCCCAGCCCAGCAGACACAGTGTCATCCGTTTCGCGTGAACTACCACCCCACTTCCCCACCCTGTCAGTAAAAGTGATGTAATCGGCACACCAATAACTTTCATGCGGTGTCAGTGTGGAATGAGTTTGAACCACGTCCGTCACTGTGAAGTATAGTCCTTAAAGTATAGTCACATTCTAGAAGGCCAGTGCCGTTCAAATAACCTAGTGATGCACGCAACTCTCGTCGACAACGGCTGTCAAACTGTCTGCTTCAGCTACCACACAATCCTCCCTGTCACAAATGTCGATTGACGGTCTTCTTCAAAATATTAATTGTCAAAACTTCGTTATCAGACTGACGTATGTCGTATACAGTCCTCTTATTTGATAAAAAGCAGTAAGTAAGATGACTGGACGATCAACGGGATGTTACATTCTTTATATGAGCTAAGGGTCCTGTTTGTGCACATCTCCCATCACGTCAGCACTATTTTGAATGAAATGAATTAAAATGAAATTCGTTTTATAATCATATTTAACAAACCTTCATGTATTTTGCCAAATTCCAATAGACATGGACCATTCAACTCGCCCGCAAAGGTCGAAGGTCGTTTACGACGTTAAAGATAATACATTTCTATAGAGTACATGCATATATCTAACTCTTAACTGCAAAATACATATTCATGATATTAATTAATTAGTCTCGGTCCTAATTCGAATGAGCGCATTCTGTGTCTAAATCTGCAAGACACAATTCTTCTTTGTACAATGCATTATCATCTGTTCTCGTTCAATCTATTGTACTTAACATTTGAAGTCATTGAAATGTAATGGTGTGGTGTTTTGAATGTAATTAGAATATGAATAGTGAAAAACAGTCACAATATGGGATGTACATGTATAACTTGTCTTTCAACAACTCAGCAACCCATGCTTGTCGTAAGAGACGACTAACGGGATCGGGTGGTCAGACTCGCTTACTTGGATTATGCATGTCATCGATCCCAATTGCGTGGATCGATGCTCATGATATTAATCGCTGGATTGTCTGGTTCAGAATCGATTACTTACAAACCGCCGTCATATAGCTGGAGTTCGGCCTTAAACAACAAACCAATCTTTCAACACCACGCTTGTGGCGATGCCCGGGATGGGCAATGTCTTAAAACTAATTGGTCCCTTAAAAGGGGCAATTACTGTCGCAGATATTAGCTCCGAGGAGTGTTTGCGTAGCTATGCAGAAATTTTACAAACATTCTGCGTAGTCCCCGCGTAGCAACGCAACAGTTAAACACTCTGCGGAAACTTTGCGAAATAAAGTAAAAGACTTTTGCGTTGTAGTGTACGCCGACGTCTTGCCTGTATATAAGTGACAGATCGGGTCTTCGCACTGGGTGCATTGACAAGTCGGCCCCGGTGTGCGTTCTGTCACGTGATTACTATCAACAGGTACTTTTTCGACTTTTTCAACTTGCAACAATAGACCTGGCTACTGTCGCCCTTAGCTTCACCCTTGAGTTTTGTCTTCCGTCATTCCGCCTTCCGCCTCTGGGGTCTAGTGGTAAAGCGTCAACCCAGAGAGCGGAAGGCCAGGGGTTCGATCCCCGGCCGCGTCATACCAAAAGACGTTAAAAGATGGTACTTGTTGGCCTGGCCCGGCGCTCGCAATTAAGGGGCTAAAATAAGGACTGGTCGGCTCGGAGTCAGTATAATGTGTCTGAGTGGGGTGCTCATGTTAAAGTGCGGTATCTCAGTAGTACTGTCCGGACAATTACAAGCAGTCACACACACACACACACACACACACACACACACACACACACACACACACACACACACACACACACACACACACACACACACACACACACACGTCGCTTTGTAAGTGCAATAAACCTTGGACGTTACACCTCACCTCACCTCACCTCACCTCACCTTGTCTTTCGTCCTCCCTATTTGCTTCCAACTGAGAGCAAATGTTCTCTCGGACAAATACATCACCATCGAATAACCATTTCTTGTTTGTGTCATATTTAACCACCCATGAAACATGGTGGACATACTATCTTTTGCCCGGCAGTTCACACAAAATGGATTATAATATGATGTCATACTCAATACTCAAGCGAACAGATACATTTTGTATTTTATTTCCAAGTTACAGGCTTGTATACTGTATCACGGGAACTAGCTGGCTGTATCGCGGTCCTCTCCCCTCGTCAATCTGGGTCCTCATGTGTGAAGTCAGGGAAAACTCTGTGATTGAGGAAACAGAGTAAGGAGAGGAAACATCAGGTTGTTAATTGTCACTAAACATGCTCATTCAGGTCGATCATCGTTTTTCATCTTTTTATCAGCTGTTCTATATGTCAACAAAGGAAACTACCATTGCAGGATGTTGGACATGCCATTTGTCCATCGCTTTTAAATCAACATAAATGTAGAAACATCTATCTCTTCAAAAATTCCTTAACTTCAAATAGGTAGCTTTCATTTCATCGAAAGACAACCTTGATTGGTATTGTTGATCGAAAATACGGTTTCTTTCTTGGGGGCCGTTCGGGTAGCCTGGTGGCTAAAGCGTTCGCTCGTCACGCCGAAGACCCGGGTTCGAATCCCGACATGGAACAATGTGTGAAGGCCATTTCTGGTGCCCCGCACCGTAATATTGCTGGAATATTGCTAAAAGCGGCGTAGAACCATACTCACTTGCAATTTCATGGCTAATGACAAATTCTAGTACGGATCATCCTGTTGAGATATTGAGAACAGTTGCACAGAACGATGAGGGGTTGTGATGATTACATCTAGTTGAGGGTCGTAAGAATATTATATATTTCTGGAGGCTTCTAAAATCTTTATAAAGGTAAAGAAACATTTGTCATAATTTGTGCTCACTTTGTGTCAGATGTTCATGATGACAAAAAAGCATCACAGGGAGGGTCATAGAAAGAAGAAACATGATCGCCAAAATTTATATAAACATTTGAGGAGGGTCATTTATTTAAGTATTGACATAGATTAGGCTGTCGCAAATGCAGCTTGATGAAGAATGTCATAGTTTACTAATTTGCACGACAGAAAATCTTACATTCATTTTGCCAACTGCAAATGATTTTTGTTGTTGACCATTTCATTTAATGGTGCTTTAAAATATATATCCAGGCAGCTTTATAAGGGCCATTGTTTATGTTATAAAACGTGTCTATTTGTTTGTTGCTTAACGCCACAAGCAGCAATAGTCCAGCTATATGACGGCGGTAGGTAATAATTGATATTACCAGACAATCCAGTGATTGGCATCATGAACATTGTGTGAGTGAATATGGTTTTACGCCGCTTTTAGAAATATTCCAACAATATCACGGCGAGGGACACACGAAATGGGCTTCACACTTGTACCCGTGTCGGGTTTCGAACCCGGGTCATCGGCGTGGCGAGCGAACGCTGTAACCACTAGGCTACCCGACCGCCCTCATGGACATTGATCCATACTATATATATAACAAGCTTATGTTGCTGAAGACCAGTCCTCTGTGCTCTGTGAGTAAGTGTGTGTGATTGAGTGTGTGTGATTGAGTGTGTGTGTGTGTGTGTGTGTGTGAGTGTGTGTGTGTGTGTGTGTGTGTGTGTGTGTGATTGAGTGTGTGTGTGTGTGTGTGTGTGTGTGTGTGTGTGTGTGTGTGTGTGTGTGTGTGTGTGTGTGTGTGTGTGTGTGTGTGTGTGTGTGCGTGACGAGGGTTGGATGGATGTGAGGAGGGATGTGTGGGGGGTGGGGTTAGGGTGGGTGCGTCTAAGAAATCAATGGTTTGGCGCCGGTTTGAGCAATATTCCAGCACATGGTGTTTTCATCAACTAAACCATCACTTAGCGATTTTCTTTTTCTGTAGGTATATGAGAAGAATAAACTGACGTTATATTTGGGAGTGAGGCGGGCGGGGATGCATTATCATCATGTATATCCTGAACACAGATCTGAAATTATGTGAGGCATATTCGCGCTAAATAAGTCTTACCATCAAACTCACGGATGCAGAACCTTCAGACCGAAAGCCTTAGCTGTAGTACCCATATCTGTTTCCGTAGTCGGGTGTGTCGAAATCGAGATGATCGGGGGTGTCGTAGTCGCTGTACATCAACTGGTACCTGTTACCATAGGAACTACTACCATAGCTTCCCTGGTAGGTATTACCGTAGATTCCCTGGTTGGCATTACCGGAGTTTCCCTGGTAACCGCGACCGCTGTTTGCCTGATAACGAACGCCGTAGTTTCCCTGGTAACTAGGGTTTGCTTGACCGTAGCTTCCTTGATAACGATTTCCGTTGTATACTTGGTTACGACTAGCGGAGTTACCTTGATAACGACTACCGAAGTTATGCTGTGCAACGGCGACGGCAGTGACGACGACAAGGAGGATGAGGAATTGCAGCTTCAACATCTTTGACCCTGTTTCGAAAGAAATATTGTAATAAAAATAAAAATAAAACGAATTATAAATAACCATAAAAATAAAATTACTACTAATAAAAAAATAATTTATTAACTATTCAGAAAGTGATATACATCGCGGAGCATGACAATATAAATATTACGACAAAACGACACTGACAATTATCCTGTATTATAATTATGCTAAACTCACCCCTACGCACTAAAGTCGCCTTAGCATTAAAACTATCTTCAAATCAAATTGGGTCTTAGTATCTCTTCATCACGAGCAGGATGCGTCAAAACCCAGAATCATAACTGGGGTAAGAAACGGGATTCAAACCACTGATATTCTCCCCGCAATCTTTAATTGTACGATAAAAAACGACCACGAGTCGCATATTTCTTATATGAGATATCAACATTATGTCAGCCTTTTTAACATATAACCGTATTTAAATAATTCTGACTCTCCGAAAACAATCCGACCTCGGTAATGTCGACCAAACAATCCAGTGTTTGACATCAGTATGCACAGAAGACCAAGCTGAGAAAAGCAAACGCATAAAAGTAAGCAACACAAAGTAACCACAACAAGTCTTTTGTTTGTTGTTTAGCCCCACGCTCAGCAATATTACAGCGATATGACAGATATCTGTAAATAATTGAGTTTCGACCAGACAATCCAGTGTTTGACACCATGAGCATCGTTCTACGCAGTTGGGATACGATGACATGCATCAACCAAGTCAGCGAGCCTGACCACCCAATCCCGTTCGTCTTACGTCAAGCATAGCCGCCTCTCATGACAAGCAAGGGTTGCTGAAAAACAATTCTAACCCCGATCGTCACAGGGCACCAACAGCCGGTATAGTTACCTTGTTTGTTACCACAGGATAGTTACCTTGTTTGTTACCAGGGACTCACACAAGTCTTCACACAGGGACGATTGAGTACATCTGCTGATTTGATATATATACGTACACTGTGAGATATGATTGATTGTTGCGGTATCATTTATTAAAGCCAAATGGCATTAATTTGTTTTTTCGCTTCGAGATGTTCTTTTGAGTAAGGAGGTCTTAAAGTTGTATAGCTCAAAGATTTATATAGCTTCTGACATGTCATGATCAGTCGCATAACACCAGGAGCAGCCTTTTTGGGTCTAAAGTATTCAGTGTCAATTTTAATTTATCACTGCGGAGATTATTTTAAAGTTGCACTTTTTGGGCTGATAGGGGTAGATGCTGATTTTGTATGAAGTTTTAAATGTTTGCTGATAATGCTATGGTTTCAATCGAATTTGAAGGTTTCCTTGGCAGATAACTTTAACGGTAACTCACTGAAACCTACTTTAACGGTAACTCACTGAAACGAACTCTTACGGTAACCCACGCTAACCTACGCTAACGATTACTCACTGAAACCAACGCTAACGGCAACCCACTGAAACCTACGCTAACGTTTACCCACTGAAACCTACGCTAACGGTTACTCACTGAAACCTACTTGAACCCACTGAAACCTACACTAACGGTAACCCACTGAAACCTACGCTAACGGTAACCCACTGAAACCTATATTAATGTTAACCCACTGAAACCTACGTTAACGGCAACCCACTGAAACTTACTTTAACCCACTGAAACCTACGCTAACGGTAACCCACTGAAACCTAGGCTAACGGTAACCCACTGAAACCTATATTAACGTTAACCCACTGAAAACTACGTTGGGTAACCCACTGAAACCTACGTTAACGGTTACTCACTGAAACCTACGTTAACGGTAACACACTGAAACCTACGTTAACGGTATCCAACCAAAACCTGCTTTAACGGTAACCAACTGAAACCTACTTTAACGGTAACTCACTAAACCTACGTTAACGGTTACCCACTGAAACTTGCTTTAACGGTAACCCACTGAAACCTGTTTTAATGGTAACTCACTAAACCTACGTTAACGGTTACCCACTGAAACCTACGTTAACGGTAACTCACTGAAACCAACGTTAATGTTAACCCACTGAAACCTACTTTAACGGTAAATTGTAGGTATATTAGGGTTCATTTCTATCAAGTCAGACCCGTGAAGATCCGGCGTAGAATAGGTCTTCAGCAACCCATGCTTGCAGTAAAAGGCGACTAACGGGAACGGGTAGTCAGGCTCGCTGACTTGGTTGATGCATGTCATTGATCCCAATTGCGTGGATCGATGCTAATGATATTACTCACTGGATTGCCTGGTCCAGACTCGATTATTTACAGACCACCGTCATATAGCTGGAATATTGCTGAGTGCGGCGTTAAACAACAAACCAACCAACCAACTTTCAAGTCCAGCACTTCATACATGTTTCATAATGTACCCTAATGCATCCAGACAACTGCATTTATTAATTTACCTTCCGTAGTGAGCACATGCATCCACCTCCTCTGATCTGATTCACCGCTCACTGCAAGCCAAGCCGTGAAGGTTCGGGTTAGAATTGGTCTTCAGCGACCAACGCCTGTCGTAAGAGTCGACTAACGGCATGCAGACAGATAGACGGACAGATATTTTATTTTCTCACCGCTCATCTCTTTATAATATAAGAAACTGGTAATATATGTATAAATGTATTTCCAGCATCTAAAAAACACAATTGCAAGTTGCAGCCCTGTATATCAAGTGTTTGATATTTGAACAAAAAGCATCAATACAAAACACATCCGTACACAACAACTCTGTTTGAACTAAGTACAATGTACAGTCATATAACTGATTCGCACTAATGTGATTGTAGCGAGGCGTGTATGGGGGTCATACAGTGGACTGAGCATTGTGATAGGGATGTCCCGGTGGTGATACAGTCCCCCTTGTGATCTGTTAGTGTCTGGTTGAAATGGGAGGTAACCATGTTAAGGTAAAAATCCGCAAATAAATTTTACAACGATTATGCCCCGCATGTTTTTTTTTCTTTTTGCGCGATATAAATACTTATATGTACATACACATTTAGGAGCGTACATGACAATGACGCATAGCGATTGAGGAGGTAAATAACGGTAGTTATTGTGTGATATAAACGTGCTGTAGCAGTCTTTGTCGGAGATTATGCCTTTGGGCCTTTATAAATGGAATTTAAAGAAACACGACATGATTTAAAAAAAAGAAGACATTTATGACGTTAAATTTGATTAATGATGCAGTGTACCTGTGAATATGATATAAAGGCTAAGGAAGAGAATGTCACCTTCTTTATTATGTGGAACACAACGTTTCGGAGTATATCATCAAGTGATGAAGGAGTAAGTATATTATTTATTCCCCGAAACGTTGTGTTCCTCATGATAAAGACGTTGGCATACATAAATTCTCTGTCTATTTCATCTAAATGTCATTCAAAGACTTGATATATTGGTTGATCATTCGATCATTGAAAGTATTTTTGCCAGTATAAATCACATGAAAGGATTATCTCCACGGGGGAAACCAAACACTGTCTTCACAAATAGTTCACCTAAAGAGCGAAACAAATCTGTCCAATACATGTATTACATTACAGCTATAATTTAACAACTGCATTTATCTGTAAAATATGGTCATTTCAGAGACTAGATGTCAGACACACACACACACACACACACACACACACACACACACACACACACACACACACACACACACACACACACACACGCACGCACGCACGCACGCACGCACGCACGCACGCACACATACATATGACAAACGGTCGTTTTGTGGAAAGGGGCCCATGTTTCAATTACACTGAGGAAAGGAAACGTCACTTCTCAGGTAATTTTATCATATGCTTGATTTTCAGTTGAAAATATCTAAAGTTAGCGTATTGTATCCAAGAAATAAACTGATTAGCGTTTAGTCAACATTCAACATTCTACTTGCTTATATTTATTTATATATAATTTGATTTAAAGCGTTTAATCTTTTAAAAAGTTTCGTATAATACACAACTGCTAATGGGTATCTTAAACATCATATCTTTGATAAACAATAAATTTGCTTCTTTAGACAAAAATTTACAATATTTCAAACATCTGGATGCAAATTTATTGTTTTATCCCGGTCCTCACTGAACCAAATCATTTTTACACAAAATGACCCAGCCACAGATTACTTTTACAAACTGTTGCAGGAATGAGTGATGGTTATATAGATAAAAAAAATAGATGAAATTTAACAACAGTTTTCTATTTTCAGTTACATAAAAAACAAACTCGGTATACTTTCTTTTGCCCCTCTACTCCCCGGTGTGTGTCTATTTTCAGTCCACGTCTTGATCTCGTGATACATTTGTACGGGTGATAACTGTGACATTACATTATACATTCACGGATTCCTTATCAAGTTTTCAGCTTATTTCGTTCTATCAGTATATGTGCACACAGCTGTGGTTCTATCAGTATATGTGCACACAGCTGTGGTTCTATCAGTATATGTGCACACAGCTGTGGTTCTATCAGTATATGTGCACACAGCTGTGGTTCTATCAGTATATGTGCACACAGCTGTGGTTCTATCAGTATATGTGCACACAGCTGTGGTTCTATCAGAGAAGCATCCAACCCTTAAAACGCGGCTTATTTCAGGTTTAGACCTAGACTAAAATCTAGTCTCTGAAATGAACATATCGTACATAAAAAAACAGTTGTTTAGTTATCTTAATAAAAATATAATAAAAAGGAGCCCAGTGACTCTCTTCATTTTCAGATACTGATACTGATACTGCAGTGATCTAGACTTGCCAAACATTATAGACTTGCATGGGCTGTATTTGATATATATTTGTATCAGGGTCTGTAAGACAGACTAGTTTAGACCCTCCCCACAGAGGAGCAAAGCACAACCACATTTTCCTTTACTTTTTATGCTTTAAAAAATGATGGTTGTTATGATTTCCTTTGGTGGCCGATATGTTTTTTAGAGGTAAATTGGACATTTTTGTGTCAAAATTAAGAAAATCAAATAAATGGCTCTAAACAAATCAGTTTGCAAACGAGAATACTTATTGTATCACAAAAGCAATGTGCTGACATACGAAACCGACAATAGAATAAATAAACAATAACCAAAATGTTTTGAATTAATATATTATAAATGGGATCGCAAAGTCGACTGAATAGCTTCCCGAACACCTGTTGTCATCCCTGTTTTTCAATGGTCTATTTATTTAATTTTCTCAGCTTTTTTGTCCTTTAATGTCAAATGGAATCTGTTACGGAGGATAATATAGACTGGCGATTCCCTTGCATTGACAAATTTTATTTCTACTTCGCGTGAACGGTATAGATCAAGGACCCGCTCTGTTCATCTTCAGTGGTGTGTCAATATGATGAAAATTAATGCAAGTCGGAAGATTACGAGTTTTAGCACATCAATCGAACACCTGATGATTAGGCAGGTCAAGACTGCTGAAAAGCCTAATCAAATCTTCAGGATATTTATCAATGGTAATATATCGCACGTGACATCCGTGTACCGTAGAGCACGTGCAGCACGAGGGGATCGATAGACAATGCTGATACAACACGTTCCTGTGGTCACGTGATGCCGTTATGCCGAACGCAGCAAACACTACTAGTGGTAACACAATTAGTTATTGACAAGGTTTGACGTCATTTAAACATGTACATACTGAGTAGCTCACCGTGCCTCCCTGGAGATGGTATTGTTCAAGACAGGAAATGACAATGTTAAAGAAGGGCAAATACTCGAACCAATTGACAGCACCAACAGGTTGAAGCCAGGTTGTTCAAATATTATTTTGTCTGTTTGCAAATTAAATGAATATTGTTATAACAGTTAAATTTTACCATTAATACAATAAAACAATGTCTCTGTTTCACACACGATATCGGGGTACAGGAGGCCCTTTCGTCCAAGTCAGTTCGCTGTGGAGAGTTTCGTCCCTTTGGACACGCCCGAAACCTATGATTGTGGGTTCGAAGCGTCGTTAA